GGCAATTAGCAAGACACCCCCAATAAAGGAGTGGTTCTGCAGGTGGTGACCACAGACCACTTCTCAGTTCCTATGCTTCCTGGCTGATGTTTTGGTCACTTTTGAATGCTGGCGGTGCATTCACTCTAGTGGTAGCATGATACGGAGTCTACAACCCACACAAGTGGCTCAGGTAGTGCAGCTCATCCAGGATGGCACATCAATGGGAGCTGTGGCAAGAAGGTTTGCTGTGTCTGTCAGCGTAGCGTCCAGAGCATGGAGGCGCTGCCAGGAGACAGGCCAGTACATCAGGAGACGTGGAGGAGGCCGTAGGAGGGCAACAACCCAGCAGCCACAGGTAGGGGTTGTGCTTACAGCCCAACACCGTGCAGGACGTTTGGCATTTGCCAGAGAACACCAAGATTGGCAAATTCGCCACTGGCACCCTGTGCTCTTCACACTGAGCACATGTGACAGAGTCTGAAGACGCCGTGGAGAACATTCTGCTGCCTGCAACATCCTCCAGCATGACCGGTTTGGCGGTGGGTCAGTAATGGTGTGGGGTGGCATTTCTTTGGGGGGCCGCACAGCCCTCAGTGTGCTCGCCGTGCGGTTGGCCCTGGGTTCCTCCTAATGCAAGACAATGCTAGACCTCATGTGGCTGGAGTGTGTCAGCAGTTCCTGCAAGAGGAAGGCATTGATGCTATGGGCTGGCCCGCCCGTTCCCCAGACCTGAATCCAATTGAGCACATCTGGGAAATCATGTCTCGCTCCATCCACCAACGCCACGTTGCACCACAGACTGTCCAGGATGCCACCTCATCAGGAGCATGCCCAGGCGTTGTAGGGAGGTCATACAGGCACATGGAGGCCACACACACTACCTCATTTTGACTTGTTTTAAGGACATTACATCAAAGTTGGATCGGCCTGTAGTGTAGTTTTCCACTTTGATTTTGAGAGTGACTCCAAATCCAGACCTCCATGGGTTGATAAATTTGATTTCCATTGATAATATTTGTGTGATTTTGTTGTCAGCACATTCAACTATGTAAAGAAAGGAATATTTAATGAGATTATTTAATTCATTCACATCTAGGATGTGTTATTTTAGTGTTCCCTTTATTTTTTTTGAGCAGTGTATTTGGTGTGATGTATATTTGTGCCTCCCAGAAACAGTCTCCTCTTCAGCAGCAGTCTCTCCCCCGACTCATTAGTAACTGTCTGCTGCTTTTAAAAGAGGATGAGAGGAGCTGCTGTGATTGCTCATTAGCGATTGTGGGGAATTGTGCCAGGATGTATATCGCTATGTCAAACAATCAACCTTGCTGAAATCACTTTTCTAGGGTGGATTTATTTTTACAAGGCAAAATGTATCCTTAATTTTTTGCACACAAGGGTTTCAGCTCAGTCCATTTCACTAAAACGAAATACTTTGTGACGACATTTCATCTGGATTATGTCAAAAGAAGCATGATTTTGGGTCCACAAATGTTCACACACTCCTGCATGTAATAAACTGCCCCATCCAAAAAAAAATTATCATGTACCTCAGCCATTTTTCATCCATGCCGAGTCTAAAATCTAAATTTCAAAGGCAATTTCACCATTATAACCAATATCCTGTAGATAATAATGCAATTGAATGTCTTCACTACAACTGTAACAGTAAATTTGATTTAGAAACTGAAATACAACATTTATGATACAATTTATAAAGACATACCTAGGCAATCTGTGTGTGTTGGCCGTGTTTACTAATTACATGTTGACTGTTAATTTTGAGTTTTTCTTTAAAATACTATTTATTTCCATAAAACCATGTTACAAATAACATAAATCTCCCAAATAATGGTCGCTGGTGTGTGTAGCATGAGATGAGAGATATCTGTAGGAGTGTGACTGCGGGCATGCAACATGTTCAGCCAGGGTTCGTCAGGTTAAGTAAATTAGAAACTATGTTGTATGTAGGTGAGAATATGAATGGATTTGTCAGTGTAGTTTATGAGTTTTAGCCTTGTTGGTGACCTGCATGATCATACTGTCTTATCCTGAACAAGTTAAATGCGTTTATAAAATGGATGGCTGGGCATGTTTAAATATTAAGTTAAATTAGTTTAATAAATTACCTTAATAAATTAGTGCTATTGTGTTTGAGATTAACAAATAGAGATAAATAAATAGGTTTACATCTCTTTGTTAATAAATGACTGAAAGGTGAGAACACTGCAGGCCATAAATATTTGCATTCAGTTTTGCACAGCAATTTTCTATTAGTGGAGATCTGAATTCTGTTGTGAAAAACTTCAACAAATTGCATGGAAGTGGAACCTTCATTGATTTTCCCAAATGCTGTCACAGTATTGACAGTCAGTTTGTAACCTACATTGTTGAGAAATGAGTGAGTGGAAGTTTATTTTCTCCTAGATGCAGGGATATTGTAACTAGTGTTGTGTGTTCTGAATCACCAACCTGCCAGTGTCCAGTGTGTGTCTGTGTGTTTTAATAACACTTTGATGCTATAATTTGTGTGATATTTGTTTCATAAACAAATCAGTACTGTCAGGAATGGTTCCATAGCTGAAGTGACTCATCGTACATACGCACTCAGACTGACTTATCAGGCTATGAGAAATGAAATGCCCGTCTTTTCCTTAAAGCACGTCAGGGAATTTAAATTTGCAAGCAGAGAGCCCAGGCAGCAATTACAGCTGCAGTTGGCCCATGCTGTCAACTATGTAATACCAAATAATGAATCAAAAGTACTCAGTAAACATTACTTGACATGTTACATACCGGTGTGTAGCTTTAGAGTTCAATGTCGACAATGCATAAAGTAGCCTGTATCAAATTATGTATGTTTTCATGCACCAGCTGAGCTGTTATGACAGCACTGGCACCTGCGCTCATTTGACCTCATGTCAACAATTTCCACACCAATTCATGACAGTTTAACTTTCAAGCCATTGTAACAGCAATATGCTTATTATCTGGCTTTTGGTCAGGTTCTAGGAGAGTGGGGATTTCGGGAGGACTCTGGACTAATGATACAGGTCTAATTTGTCCCACATCCTCTGTCCTACATTATTAGGTTTAGACAACAAAAGCACAGTGGTAAAGGAACAATTGTGCTTTTCGGTTAAATGTGAATAAAGTAAAAAACAAAACAAAAAAGCTCTGTCCCATGCTTAACATGGTCATGGTTGAGCAATGTTAAAAAAAGACCATAATCTTTCCCTAACCTTACTTAAGTGCATTGATTACTGTAGGTTTCCACTGAATGAAGCCTTAGCTTGACGCTCCCATCCACTCCCTTCATCCAAATCCACATCAATAAATCCACATGACCACTCGTAACAATGTATCCGTTTACTCGGTTAGCAGCAAAAAAAAAGGACCAGGAAATTTCAGAAAATAAAAATTATTAATTAACAACAAAAAGGGGAGAGGGAGAGAGAAAGAAAGGTCCACTCTTGGCTTGCCTGACTGTCCACTAAGGTAACTTCACAAAATCTTGTGAGATTATTCCCCTGCAATTAAAGGTACATGCGGTTAAAGGTAAAAGGCGATAACAGTCTATTCTCCAAATATTACCGATGTAGTATAAATGCACTCCAAATTATCCACACACATTTTAGCTAAGCATACAATTAACTCTTTGCATTACTGTAAATATTAACTGCATGATATTCTTTACACCAGCGTCCATGAGTTACTGGACTTGACTCCATCTGCAGTTAGCGTACTGGTTATCCTTGCTGAACACTCCTGGTGGTAGCTCAGGCTTGACCTTGCATCAACAGGTGGTTGGGTGTTAAGGCCTCTAAATCGTTGAGATCTGAAGATACCTGTGTGATTGGCCTGCTGTTATGATTGCTTCAGATTAACACAGCAAGGTATGGAGACCTTCATCCAAAAGTTGTTCCTTCACTGTGATGTTCAGAATTTTTCTCACAGAGCGGATCAGACACTCCCAGCTTCCTCCATGGTGTGAACCTGGATTAAAGTGCCACTGTACTCCCTTTTCTTGCGAGTTCTTTGCAAGCAAGAAATCTTTGCAAGAAATCTTCTAATTGTATTGAGGCATGCATCAGTGTCAAGTGAAGATGCGACTTCTAGATGTATGGTTCGTATGGCAAGACATGTAAAGATGACACCATATCTCTTTACTTACTTGCCCGCTTACTCTTTTTCACCAGAAATGGATCAAAGTTGTCAATGCCGACTCTTGTGAATGGAGGACTGTCAGGCAGGACGCTGCATCTTGGTAGATCCGCCATGAGTTGCTGGCCGGCAGCTCCACGTAGTTTCTTACAGCTGATGCACCTGGACAAGAACTTTCTAATAGAATTATCTTTGACGCAGTTGAGCCAACATATGATTTCTACCGTCATGAGCTGTAATATCGTGAATGTGCTTTTGGGCCACTGGTTTGGTGCACAGAGCAGGAAACTTGGTCCTGAAAGCCAGCTTTCGTTGTTCAAGAACACTTCAACAGTCTGTCCTCTCGAGACATGATCAGCAGGATTCCGATTGGTATTAACATATCTCCACTGTGAAGTCTGAGAGTGCTCCAGGATTGTTGTGATTCTATTGGCAACGGAAGTCTTGAATCTTGTACCTTCGCTGTTCAAGTACTTCAGCACAGCCATGCTATCTGTCCAAAAGATTGATTCGTCAAGTTCCATTTCATGTTGTGGTGGCAGCCCGGCTGACGGTGAGAGTCCTGGTTTTTTCTCCCTTTTCTCTGCCTGCCTCCCCGTGTCTCCTCCCCTGTGTGTGCTTTCTCTCTCTCTCCCTCCGCTCCTGAGCCCAGCCAACGACCCGCACCTGCACCTCGTCTGCCACCTCCTCTGCATGCTACACCTGCCAGCGATCAGCCTCATCTCCCACAGTATTTCTACCCCGGCTCTCCACTCCATCCTCGCTTGATCGTCGTTGCTCCAAACCCGGTGCCACTCGATCACTCAAGCCCTCACACACACACACACATACTCACTCAGCATCTCGTTTATTTCCCTGTGCTTAGTCCCCGCAGTGTCACTAACCCTGTTTTTCTGTCTGTTTCCCTCCCAGGTTCACTTGCCCTCGTCATCCGTTCTGTCGGCTGGACTCATCCTCCGGTCCTCTCCTCTTCAGACTTCCCCCACGGCGTCCTCCCAGTTCTCCCTTGCCTCCTCCCTTCCTCGGCCCCAGTGTCTCCTGGCTCTCTGGTTTCAGTCAACTCGGTTCCCCATGCCTGTGCTTCCCTGGCTTCCACCTCTCCCTCCACTTCGGTCCCTCAACCCCTTTTTCCCTCAAACCTCCTTTCCTCTGAGCGTTGTATTTGGGTCCTCTCTGTCCCCACACCACCCATCGTAACATTTCAAGCTCTTTCTTCAGAAGCTTGTCCATCTTGACAGCAACAGTGGCTGCAGTCAATTCCATTCTTGGTATGGTTTGAGACTTTAATGGTGCATTCCTTGCCTTTGCCATAATCAGGGTGGATTGAGCTTCACCTTCGTAGCAGTAGGTAACTTGCTGTTCCGTATGCGTCTTCACTAGCATCAGCAAAATGATGTAACTGTGCAAAGACTGGTGCACCAAACTGCTGTGTCTTAACACATCTGTCAACTCCAAAAGCCTCAAGCTGTTGCAAACCAGACATCCACTTTTTCCAGCTCCTAATGACATTTTCAGGCAGGTCTTCATCCCAGCTGTACTTCTGCCGGCATAAGTCTTGCAAAATTCTTTTGGCAGGCAGTGCCACTGGAGCAAGAAAGTCCAACGGGTCAAAAATGGAACTGACAAGGGAAAGCAGGCCTCTCCTAGTGTGTGGTTGAACTTTGAGGTTGATTTTGAACTTGAACTGATCCGTTTCGGCACATCACTAGATTCCCAGTGCTCTCTCCATTGGCAAGTCATCTTCATCCAAGTCCAAATCCTAAAAACCCTGAGCTTTTTCCTCTTCAGGAATAGAGCTGAGCAACCTTCAACTGTTACTCAACAATTTTGTTAGTCGAAATCCACCGTTTGCCAACATGCTCCTCAAGTCAGCGCAAAGAGTGATTGCTGTGTCTTCATCAGTAGCTGACTTAAGACAATCGTCTACGTAAAAATTTTTCTTCACTGTTTTGGCAGCTTCTTGACCAAATTCATCCTCAAAATCTGTTGCACATTTCTGAAGTGCAAAGGTTGCAACACTTGGCGAAGATGTTGCGGCGAGGATGTGGACCAACAACCTGTGTTCTTCAAGTGCCTGCTCGTAGTTCCCATCGGGCCACCAAAGAAACCTGAGGAGATCCGTGTCTTCATTGCTGACTCTGACCTGGTGGAACATAGCCTCCCCGTCAGTCATGACCGCCACGGCCTCTTGTCGGAACCGTAAGGTTAGATGTGTTCCTTTTGAAAGCTTTCTTGAACCAAAGTCTGTCTTCTCCATGTGAGTTTGGTTCCTTTCTCTTTGCTTTCAGGTCCTACTATCAACTTCAGAAACCAGGCCACAGCGCGTTTTAGCTTTGTCCAGGATGAGTAGTGGGTCATCAACTGTACTGTAGCATCTTTGGGCTCTTGCGCCTGAATAACCTGCACATGAACTACTTTTTTTAACCTCTGAGTCATCAATGTCCAGCAAAATTACCTAATATCCAACCTAATATTGTTCTCACAGCGTATGGGCTGTCATCCACGCTGTTAACCACCTGCAGTGGCTCCATTGCCTTGGGAACGTTTGCTCCTATGAGTAATCCAACCTCTGCTGGGATAGTGGGGAGTTTCACCTCCTTTAGATGAGGCCAACTGTCAACATCCTCTTGGCAGGGAATATTGTCTTTGGTTACAGGGATAGTTTTCTGTGAAAACACCTCTGAAAGCTCAATAAAGTGGTTGCCATGCAGGCTACTGTTTTCCAGTCCAGTTGCAATGCAAGTGTTAACAATAGATTAATTCCCCATTGTTTGCAACAAGATCCTTGTATTGTGTCCTTTCATACTCAGTTGGTTTATTAATGACTCCGTAGCGAAAGTAACTGAGCTACCTGGATCCAAAAATGCGTATGTTGTCGCAGCCTTGGTTCCCTTTTGTGCTTCAACACATAAACATAACCAAAAGAGCACCTGAAAACTTGGTTTACATTCCTTCTCGGCCACTCTGCTCCTCCAACGAACACCATCTGGCTCTGCCATCCCCTAAGCACAAAGTAATCTTAGTCCCGGCTGTTCTCATCTGTAAGATCACAATGGTGAAACAAACTACCACATGCCATCAGAGCAGGGGCATCCCTCTCTAACTTCAAGAAGCTCGTGAAAACCCATCTCTTTCGAGAATGCTTCCTCGTATAACACCTCTAACCTCTGCATTTCCTGTGCTCTTTTTCTTGTATCTCCTTACAATTCTCTTGTATTGATTGCACTATTCATTAACTCTTACTTCTTACCCTAGGTATTTACCTTATTGATGCTGGGTGTGCTAATAGCTCTTACTAGTGTTTATTGTCACCCCTGCTCTGATTGCATGTGGTAGTTCATTTCACCATCGTGATGTGACAGATGAGAACAGCCGGGACTGTGTAGGGATGGCAGAGCCAGGCGGTGTTCGTAGGAGGAGCATAGTGGCCAAGAAGGAACGTAAATGTATTTGACAGTATTTTTACACATGTTGATCCTTGTTTGCAATTTCATGTTGCTATTAAAGCGTTTACTTCTGTAATTCTGTCACTTACTTTTTTCCTACACTACATTCTATAAAGTAAAGATGACTCATTCACTTATACATAGTTTGTTGCCAAAAATGCACACATCCGATCCCTCAAGCCAAAAATGCAGGATGGTTTACAGTAAAAGGAAAGTGAATTATAAAAAAACAATTTATTTCATTGTCTACTGCAGTGGTCGGCAATAGGCGGCCCGCGGGCCAGAACCGCCCCCCATCAATAATATCTGGCCCGTGGCCAGATTGCTTTTATAGCAGAAAAATAAAAAATAAATAAATTGATAGCGGCTGGTGGTGAAATAGATATCAGTGATGACAGATACAGTTACTCACACAATCATTTCCTCTTAAGTGATTGTGGGTGCAAAATAAAAGTGTGAGAATGTTTATTGCAGCAATGCTTTATGTTGAGTTTATTGAAAGCTTTTACTTTGAAGAGTTCTGAAGGACATTCAAAAGAGTCTCTGGCTTTCTTGACAAACCTCTGGGAAGAATGTAGTTGTGCAGTAGTCCAGTTGCAGTAGTGCATGGATCATGCGTAATATTCATCCAGCCAACGATCACAAAACCGTTCACAGCCTGTTGGCACCAGAGAGAGAGTGGGGCAGACCAACATTCAACAACTCTGTTAACAAACAGAGCACTTCTGTGAGGTAGCTTGAACAATCATGTAATAAATAACAAAAATTCTTCACTTTTGGACTTTAGTGCAACAGTAAATATAAAAAAAGTCCAAGATAAAAACAAATAGGCATGTAAACAAATACAAACATAAAAGTGCAACAGTGTTTGCAAAGCCAGTAATGTGCTTTAAGGAAATGCACTCCTAACTCTTACTTTACTACTTCTTACTACTTTCATCACAGTAGTAAGTTTCACAGAAGGAAATGTATCTCTGTAATGTATGCATCTCTACCTTGTCAGGTTTGAGCCTGTTTCTGTTCTCATCAAGGATGTTTGCAATGGCACTAAAAAGTCTCCCACTGTCCACAGAGCTGCAGGGGGCACTGAGATACTGGGTTGCAACAGCAGCCATAGAGGGAAACTGATTAGCATGTTCTTTCCAGTACTGAAGTGGGTCGCTTTTCTTAGGGGTGTTCTTTTCTGAGGTAGGTCTGCACTTGAGTTTCTGCTGATGTGGTACTCACGGACCGTCCCTGTGACTGCCTCTCTTGTAAGATTTCCTCAAAGGCGATGTCCAGGCTGCTACATGCTTCATGATGTGGTGCCTTGCTCACTGGCTCTGCTGCAGCCTCATTTTCCTCTGGCACTGCACTGACAGCCCTCCTCCCCTCTGTCTTTGCCACCTCCTGGATAAGGTGTTCCTTTGCAAGCAACAGGTTGGCTGACTTTGTGAAAAAGCTAGAAACAGATAAAAGTAACACACAATTCAAAACAATAAGACAAGAAGAGACACCACATAGCACAGCACTTCAGTTTGGGAACTGCCTACACATGTATTCAATTAATAAACAATAAAAAAATCTGATCTTAGAAGTTGAACTAAATTTCCCAAAACTAAATTAAAAAGGAAGTCAAAAATAAATTGGCTTAATATTGGTGTCTGGTGATGACTTGACTTTATATAACATGATGTACAAAAGGTGCATTTTAATTTTACTATACTTGCCCATCTTTGTATCTGGGATCTAGAAGAGTGGCTCAGTTTCAACATCAGCAAAGCGCTTCTCCACTGCCTCCAGCAGAGTCCTCTTCATTGTTTTTATTCCCTGGTCATCATCATCCTCCCGAGACAGAACACGTCTGAGGACTAATGAGTGAATGAATGACTTAATGAATGCATGGGATTATAGTTTGTTTTAAACAACATCAATAAATGTCACGCAAAATTACTTGGACCTGTTGTTTGTCAATTCCCCAGTTGTTTAGTATCTTTTCCATCGATTGCTGGATGCGCTCTGCGGTGTGCGATCCGCAAAATTCCTGGACATGTAGGGTCGTAAAACAAAACTTGAGTCAATCCATTGTGCGGTAATGCTTAGTAGAGACATGGGAGCTACGGACGAACTCCAGATGTTTGTGGTGAACGAAACATGGGGTACATCTCATAAGAGGACAAGTAGTTTGTCAGAAATCTTATAAAGGGCTGGCAGAGCTTTCTCGGTGAAATAGTGGCGAGACGGCATTTCAAATCGAGGTTCAACGTGCTCCATAAGCATAAGAAATCCGGGGTTCTCTACAAAGAGAAAAATGGCAGGTCACTCATTGCGATCATTTGTGCTATCTTGGCTGTGATGTCCTGCGCCTTTGTGCAGTCATGGGGCATTTTTTCAAACTTTCCTGCAGCATGAGCTGACTCGTCTTCGGCTGGGTTGCCTGGGTAAACTCGCTGTATTGTGTCGTTTGTTTTTGGGGTGCCGTATCAGGTTTGTTGTGACAGGAAAGAACGTTCCTCTTCTATGTAGGCCTACATTTGGTGGAAAAAAGTCACAGTATTAAATCTGGGTCCCATTTCAGAAAGCGAGATTAATGAAAATTCTGAGTATGTTAAGCCTGAGATGAGGGAAGCTCTGGGTTTTCTGTTTCAGAGAGCGAGATCAGATAATCCCTAGATCAGTAACTCCGGCAACTGATGCTGTGAACCTTACCTCCTCCCGAGGATGTTTTTATGATCAATGTGACGTCGATGTAAGGACAGATTTCTGCACATCATGGATTTATCCTCAGCCCAGGATAAAATCTATGTCTGTCTTTAGGCATAACGCTGCGACTCTGTGGACAGTTGCACTGAAAACACTTACTGTGGGCTACATCACTGCAGTAATCACTGTTTAATATGTAACCTATAAAACTGATCAATAACCAGTAATCTTCCATATTGTAGGCTAGTCGCACTGTTTGGAACATTCCTACCGTAGTTATTTCTTAGTGCAGATGACAACAAACAGGCCTAAATAAGGTTTAAAAGTGAGTTTTTCATTATTACCTGCTGATAGCCTGAATGTGTTTTGACAGCATTAATAAAAATATGAAATGAGCAAGATTTTATTAATGTAAAATAGACTTCACAGTCTATTGTTATGACCCGTGAGGTCTGTGTGCTGTGCTTGTGTTGCTGTGGGTGTCTCTGTCTCTTCTCTGCAGGTGTGTACGTGAGCTCTGAGCGTGCTGCTGTGTGAATCCCGCTGCTGGATCTGATCAGCTGGATCAGTGGGGCTGTTACGACCCCAGGGTCGTGTGCTTAGGTTGGGTTGTGTCTTCCTTCTCCCTCTCAGGTAGTGGTCCTTCCCCCCATGCCTCAGCTGCATGAGTGAGTGGCAGCAGGTGTGCCTGATCACCACTCAGTGCCCGGAGCATAAGAAGGCTTGGATTTTTCACAGCTCCCTTTCTACCTGTTGTGACCACATTGAAGACAACACCCGTGAGCAGACCACTGTCAGCCCAGCGGACAGAGGCAGCCCGTTCAGCCAGTGGGTTGAACACCAGCGTAGAGCTTCCATGAGTCCAGAACAGTGTCTGGTCACCTCCGGTTCATTTAGTTGAGAATCTTGCTCCCTCAGTTACTTACCCGGTGTTATTGTTGCCTTATATTATTGGCTAGCTGTCTCCTTTTGAGAAAGTAGTTTTGAGTTGATTTTCCTCTGTTGAATATTGAATAAATACTCCTTAGTTTGCACATAACCCTGACTTCCTGTCCTCTTTTGCCCCGTTTTTTATTTCAAATATTGTTGCTCCTCCTCCCCCTGGACTTAGATAAACTGAGCCAGTGAAGTGCTCTCAGTCTCACTCTTCCTTGGTTGCTCGCGTTAGACTGTGTGGTTTATTGTGTGGTCCGTAGCGGGACGTGATCTGCTGGGTGTTTCTTCTCGCGCTGTGCGTCTGGTGACTCTGCGGATGCAGCCGTCGGCCCAGTGTTCCTGACCAGCTGGAGGCCAGTGTGGTGAGCGGCGGGCGACCTCCACGTGTGCTTCACCAGTGCGGTGGGAGCTGTGGGGACTGTTGTGTTGCATATTCTCCGCTGAATATCCTGTATGACTTGTTTTGCTTTAGGCTACATAATATTATTCATATGGTCTCTGAAGTGAACAGAGATCGCTTTCAGTTGTTAAACATCTTTTTTGTTAATTTCTTGGAATAAATACATTAACTTGACACGTGTTTTGGGTCATTGTTTTTTTTTTCACCCAGTTTATTTCTTAGTCCCACACCCCTAGACAAGCCGGGG